AGGATTCCGCGACGGTCGTTGAGACATTCCACTTTACGCCCGACGGTCAGTATGCATCAGTCGTTATGGCTGTATCCGAACATCAGAGTCGATGCACGACTTGAGCCGGGAGAGCGGCAAGAAGCCAAGACAATGCCAATCTCCAGCCGCCAACCACACTGTTTCCCCAGCCTTTCTTCGCGAAAGGAAGGCCAACATGCGACAAGGCGATCATGTCGATAAGGTGCGGTGAGCGGGGTGGAAAGGTTGCCCAGCAGGCTGCAGCTTTTCAGTTGGTTGCCCCCGTCATGTCATCACCGCGGTGTTGTTACCAATCCGCCGGTTCGGTGCCGAACATGCGAGAGGTTGCCATGTTGAGATGCAGACATCGGATAGCCTTTCCCAGCTCTCTCTCCCTCCGTGCTCGCTGGTGGCATTGCTAGATCTGAATTGCTGCAGCTAGCTTGCAGCGTAGCGGTGCCGACTTCCTTCAGTTGCGTGGCCAGTGACGAGTACCGAACAGTGACATTAGGACCTGAAACCATGTGCCACGAATGCGTCTGCTGCTAGCCGCCAGAGATGCCATGTTGCCGTGGGCCTAGCGACTAGGAGTGCTGGGAGAGCGTCACAGAGGCGGTAGCTCAAGCCCTGGAAGGCAGCTTGAGGGCCACCGAAGCAGCCCAGAGAGCACTGTGGCACAGCCTTCCTCCATGCTGAAAGCTCCGACAGGGAGCGCTACCCCGGAGGCGGACGATGGGCGGGCGGAGCGGAAGCGCTGTGTCGCGCCACAGGTACCTGGTGGAAAGTCAATCTGAGGAGTGTCGAGTTATGCATCAAACAGAGAGGAGTGATGGGCAGAAGGGCAGAAAAAGAAGAGACAAGATTGCATCGGACGTGCGCCGACCTGGGGCCAGACAGCCGTTGTCCCAAAGAAGGATAAGGGGTGCAGGGGGTAAGGGAGCAGGGCCACGCGTCTCTGTGGGACTGTGCAGCAGCCAACGGCCAATGGCACGAAATGGAGGCTGACGCTGAGAATGCTGGGAAGCAGCTGTGCCGGGGTTTTGGGTTTGGTTTTGCTGCTGCTGGCCATCCCAATTCCGTTCCAAACTTCCATCAGGCGCTGGCTGGCTGTTCTGGCTCTCTCGACTTGGGACGATTCAATCAAGTGGTGCGGTTCGTCAGCGGCCACCTCCTGTCTCGGGCGCCCATTTCCAGACGTTGCAGAGCTGCAGAGCCGCCCGCTGATCGCCAAAGGGGGATGTTCCCTGGGAAGTACGGAGGGTCGCCTGCGAGTCTCTCGGATGGGCGTACGAAGACACACACGCTGCGTTCGGATGTTACAGCATGGGATGAAATTTCGCGATTCACGAGGTGGCTGACGGGAGAGATGCAAGATGACGAGCGGCTCGTATTGCAAGACTCTGTGCTGTGCGTACGGTTTCTTGTCTGTGGTGGCCTCTTGCGCATAGGTGTTCCATGGGCAGAGTCCGAGGATGACAGAAGGCCAAGCGGCGGAACGGAGTTTGCATATATCGGTGATGTTGGGGAGGTTGAATCCGTTCGGTATGGTCAGCCTGGCGACGGGATTCTGCCAGCAAGCGACGCCGAGGATGGCTAAGATGAGGCCCCGGCGCAGGGACTCGGCTCATTGGCCCGGAGGCACAATGGCTGGAGTTGTGAAGGCAGCGCCAAACGTGCCAAGCGGGCGGATTCGCTTTCCCAAGGCCGTGCCAGTTTGCCAATTTCTGGGAAATGGCGTCGAGCTGGCGCTGGCAGACCGGCACCATAGCCGTAGCCGTAGCCGTAGCTGTAGCCGCCTTCTCGCAGTCTTTGTCTCTCCCCGCGTACGTATCATATCTTATCCCGTTAAGCAGATATGCAATCCTTGGGAGTGATCTTCGCTGTCAACCTTGAACAAGTTGTTCGCTGCGCTGCTAAATGAGATGGAATGGGTCGGGATCATGGATGATGGCTGCAAATGAGATGACGGGCACGCGACAGTCGCCAGCGGACGATGGACGGTCGACGGTCGACGGTCGACGGTCGATGTCCCATTCGCTGGGCATGGAAAATGCGCCCGTCATCGATATCTTGTCGGTCGCAGGAGCGAATTTCTGTTGATTACGCCCAGATTGGCTCGGAGGTAGGCGACAGGGGCAGCTTCCATTTGATGGGGGCCGGCTGTGAGAATGGAACTTCCATTGGGGGGAAGGGTTGGTTCCATTGTGACGTTGACGCCAATCCATGGCCGTGGACCGTGGTGGTGTGGTGGTCGTGCTTGACCTTGACCTTGACCTTGACCCTCGGGAGGCAGGTCGGGTGCTCTCCTGCCAATTTCGATATCGGGAGCACCGCAAAGTCCGGGACCGGATTGATGCATATTCTGTGATGACGCATACCTATGGGCCATCTCTCCCGCGTATTGCTTCTCTCGTCTGAAGAGTCTTCCGCTGACTGCGGCTGATTGAGAGTTTATTTGTACGGCTATACATAACGCTTCAGCATCTGCATCTCTGCGCCTGCGCACACAACGCAGCAACAGCTGATATATCAGATGATTCTATGTTATTATTGGGACAGACATGATGGCCAGTCTAACGGCACCAGAGCTTAGGCTAAGAGGGTTCGGGTAGCCAGAGACAACGGCGGTGCATGGGAAGATCGGCACGATAGTGAGCGCCTCTCGGGAGACATGCATGTACTTGATAAGGCAAGGTGAGGTATTGTGTATCGGTTAAGTGCAAGGTGTCTCTTAGGTCGGTGCTGACGCCGGAGCCACTCCTTATGCTGCCAAGACCGCTAGCGGCTTATGCGGCGACCGGGACCAAGAAACACCAAGGAAGGAGAGCACACGACCACGACACCCTCCCCCCTGGCCCCGTCCACCTTGTACTATGTAATCCCCCTCCCCTGTCCAGCCTGCCGTCTGCAAGTGCGACTGTCCAGTGGCTGTTCAGTGGATGAAAGGGGCCTTTCCGAGCGCTGTAGGCGGGAACCCTGCGACCTCACGCGATCATCTAGCACCTATCGAACCTCTTGTCCTTCTCAACCTTGACTGAGGGCAGTGAGGTGACTCGGGTCCATGACAGTCAACTGTGAGCCACAGGAATATCAAAATCTGCCGTCTCCATCCCGCCCCTCCGAGGCCCGGCCAGTCCAGCCCCAAGCTTCTTTTTTGGTCGCCTCTTTTAATTAACTCTATGTTCCGTAAATGGGTGTTTATCCACCCTCCGCTGGAGACTCGTCACCTTTTGCAGTCGAAAGCGCGGCTTGTCACTGGCTCCCGTGCGCTGGTTCAAGGCTCAAAGACTAGGGCCTCCTTTTCCTGCGCGGGATTACGTATGCCACTAATCATGGCACATACGCGCAGACGTTGGAGTCGATTTTTTCCCTTCCTCCCCTACTGGTGCAAGCCAAGGAATGTGGGAGGACGTCTGACGAGGAGTGACACTGGGGACATTGGGGACATTGGGGACATTGGGGACATTGGGGACACGGGTGGCACCACAGCAGCGGTGCCCTCACCAGTCACCACGAATAGACTACTTTACTCTCTCTACCTTATTGCTGCGGACTGAATGACACTGACCCTTATTACGAATGGAGGTATCCATCTGTCGGGGCTGGTGACGGTGGTACGTAGGCGCGAGTACGTACCACAGTTTATCTGGCGGCGGGAGACTCCCTGTTCCGCCCTGCCCTTGTCTTGTTGCGTACCTTGGTCCGATGTCTGGGCTGTTCAGTCCGATGTCTTGTCCTGGCCGTCTCGTCTTGTTTGGCAGACAACGTTTCTTTGGAGAAGGGGTCTTTGTATGTGTGTGAAGGATCCAATGTTGGAAAAAGTGCCATTCACTGTCTGGCCTGGGTGTTCAAGATGCAGAGAAAAAAGGAACGAGTCTTCGGAAAGAATGGATCAAAAAAAGACGGCCCAGATCTTGGCAAGGCAAACAGGGTCGCAACAAGTCAAGAACTACCTGCTGGGTATCCGTAAGGTATGCATCTACTGCGTACGGATAGGTAAGGTATCCGTAGGTTACCTCTGTAAGAAGGCGGGCCTCGGGAAGCAGAGGCAAAGGAAGGAACGGTGGACGCTAAGGCAGGATGATGCGGCAACACCCACGACGTGCAACAGCCCAACGCCTCCTCCCCAGAAAACGCCTCTCTCCCGTCCCTCGCTGCAGACACACCTCTCGGCGAATCCCTCTCCACCCCCATTGGGACGGGAGTCCACGTCCACGTCCACGTCCACGTCGGGAGGAGCTGGAGACTGCCCTGGACGTGGAGTTGGGGACTGGCCTTGGCCTCACTCACTCACTCACTTACGAAGTACTCCATGTACTCCTCCTCGCCATCCCATCCCACATTTACATATCAGTCTCTGCCTCGCCCTGCCCGCGCTTCACACATGTCCACTCCGGTTCCTCCTTCTGCCTCTACTACTTCTTGGCATTCACCTACTTCAACGTCCCAGTTTCCTGAAAGCCTGGACTTGACATCGTCTGGACATCCTCCACATCAGGGTCCTCCTCCATCTCCATCTCCATCTCGTCTTTCCTATCATTCCACGGCAATCACCGCCTCCGCTCCCGCTGTCGACGCTTACACCGAACCGCCCACTCACATCAACAACTTATATCGCCTTACCTCACCTCACCTCACCGGCCTTACGATACCCACAACACCGAGACCGCGTCTACTACAAACAACCTCCCGTGCTTTTCAGTTATTACTGCGCAGTGATACCCCTCGGCAAGTTTGGTTATCAGTCGCCTTTGGAACCGCCCTCCTTCTGTCTTGGCTTTGGACCTGCCTCCTACCTTCATCGTCTCCTATCCACTCGACGACTTCTTGGCACTGCGAACCCTCCCACCCAAAATTCGAACAGACCCAAAAATCCAACAAACCGTCTTTCCTGTTTCTTGGATTGGCAACTCTTTTTCTTAATCACCCGTTCACGAGGTCGACAATTTGCTCAGCAACTTGACCACTCACCAGAGCAATACATTTTCACAGCCGCCACGATGCGCTTCAGCTTCGCCCTCCCCATCGCCCTATTGGGTCTTACTGCCACAGTCGCCGCGGCGCCCTCACAACAATCACCCAACGCAGCATCACCGCCAGTCGTCGCTAAGCGCGCAGACACCAAGTACTTCCACGAACCCTGCTGCGGCGAGGAGCTGGGCCACTACGACATCCGCTACTTCACCGAGGCTGTCCCCTACGACGAGCACCGCGTCGTCCTGCGCAACCTCATCCGCTCTTACCTCACCATCACCAAGAAGCTCAACATCGAGACATGGCTCGCCCACGGCACCCTGCTCGGCTGGTGGTGGAATGGTAAGATCATGCCCTGGGACTACGATCTCGATGTTCAGGTCTCTACTGCAACTCTCTACTGGCTTGGCCAGAACATGAACCGTACCGAGCACGAGTACGAGTGGACCGACGCCGAGGGCAACCCCCAGAAGGACCGCTACCTGCTTGACGTCAACCCCCACGGCACCGACAAGGACCGTGGCGACGGCCAGAACATCATCGACGCCCGCTGGATCAACATGGCCAACGGTGCTTTTGTCGACATCACCGGTTTGGCTGAGCGCGATCCCTCTGGCATGCCCGGCGTCTGGAGCTGCAAGAACTACCACCGCTACCGCACCACCGATCTCTTCCCCATGCGCGAGACTGAATTCGAGGGTGTTCCCGCCATCATTCCCTACAGCTTCGAGCGCATCCTCTCCGAGGAGTACGGTACCAAGAGTCTGGTCACTACTGAATGGCAAGGGTAAGTCAAGATCAGCGCGGAATTCCGTCCGCCTATTTAAGCTTCTTATGTGCCGCGACTAACAATTACTTGCAGACACAGGTGGGAACCTGAACAGAAGGAGTGGCTCAAGGTGCAGCAGTCCTCCTAGAAGGCGACGGCGGAAGACCTTGCGGATGATCTCGAGTGGTCAAAGTAAGGATCGTATTGGATTTGGATCAGCACAAGCGATGGCCGCGACTTGTCTTTTTTCCACAAAAGCACATGGGAATATTTTTTTTTAACGGCAGCATTTTGCGTTTTGCACGCTTACATGCATTGGTGGCGTTCCGGACATGGTATGGCATGGCATGAGATTAAGGTGTTCCAGGGTCAGGGATTTTTGACAGGGAGGACACTCGGGCATTACCTCCCTTTTTTTTCTCTTCCTTTTGTCACATCATGAAGATGGAGAGTATCGCTACGATGAGCATCGCCCATTGGGTAGATATGGCGCGCGGGCTGGTTGCCATATGAAATGGAACCATCCGCAAAGCCACTAGAGGAGTCGCATGTGCACACTAGATACCCAAAGATACCGAGGTGCCAAGGACCTCGAATTGAACATTTGACAAACGCTTTTGAGATTTCGTGTTGGATCGTGCTGAGATTATCTTTCCTCGCTATGGAAGCCCCAAGCCAGCCAGTACAGCGACATCATACATAATATTTACCAACGCCATCGCAATGCCCAAACCCGACGACCAAAACAACCTAGGCTAATGTGTGTAAATGCAGACCATGACCAAAAGTAGAACTCAAGGTGATGCTCCTGAATCCGGCTTTCCGCCATCCCTCCTTTCCATATTCATCTTTTTCAGGCGTTCCTCTGCGGCTCTGGCTAGAATCTCCCGTCGGCTCAAGCCCTTGTTGTCAGCGGCGCTTCCGCCGACAACAAAGTCGCCCCCTTCCCAGCCCCCGTGGTCCTCGAAACCTTCCTCCTCGTCCTCTCCAGCCGCATAATAGGATGATGATTGCCCGACGGTCTGCCCGCCGTGCTTCCAGTCCGCGGCGTCAACCTCGCGCTCGATCTGGTGGCACAGGTCCCAGAAGTTCCTGTCGTGGGGGCCGTGAACATTGTGCGCCAACTCATGGCACAGCGTCTTTCGAATCGTCTTGTAGTCCCTGTATCCGTCATGCGCGTCTGTCCTCAGACGCAACTCGATGACTTCTCCCTGGTTCCGGTTCAGCCCCAGCAGCCTCGTCGTGCCCTCGTGGCTCGACTGCGTGTTTGATAGCGGCTCCATCTCCGTCAGCAGGCCGACGCTGAACTTGTGCTTCACCATCGAGGCGCGGATCCCCGGGTCCTCCTTCAGCTTCTCCAGCAGCGCCAGCGACCGCTCCGGGTTCGGCAGCCCCGCCAGCGGCCTGACGGACAGGAAGGTATACGTGCTGTGCGCCTGCGACCGCGCCTGGTCCCGCCTCCGCGACGGGCGATTCGCCCTCCGCGCGGCGCTGCGGGCGGCGTTGCGGCGTGCGGCGAACTCGGACGCGGCCTGCAGGGAGGCGACCTCCTTCGCCTCGACGCCCATGAGCATGATCTTCTTGCCTTGCAGGTCGGCGAGGGACATGTCGGGGTCCTTGAACGGGGGCTTCAGCAGGCCGAGCTTCGGGACGATGAACTTTTGGTTGGAGGCGGGGATGGAGAGAGCGTCTTCGACATCTTCGGAGAGGTGGGTGATAGTGCCGTCGCTGGGGAACTTGAAGGTGTGCGGGGTGTTGCGGTGGGTGAGGGTGATTGTGATGGCTTCGTCGGCGGAGTCGTCGAAGTCGGACTCGTCGCGATGGGGTTCGGCCATGGTGGGTGGGTTCGTGGTTTCTTGGAGCTGTGGTGTTTGAGAGGCGCTACCGCGTAGATCGGTGTATATGCAAGTATGTGATGATGCTGTGGGTAGATGCGACAAGGTCCGAGGATTGAGAGATGCGCTAGGGATATATACAAACGAGATGACTGCGTAGAATGTGCACGAAGGCGGCGTTGGGGCGCAGGCGCAAACGCAGACGGTCACCGGTGAGGCCGTCTGGAGCGTATTCGCAGTGTTTGTCATTCAGGCAGCTTTGTAATACGTCACTCGCTGGCAGGTGGACTCCGGGCCTTCGGGCTGGACTTAGGGGTGGGTCCGAAGGCACGAAGGGTTCTTCTTTCCCGTCAGTGCTCTCTTCGGAAGCCAAGACACCGGGAAAGCTTCGGGTAATCCGAGAGATTACCTCAGCAAGGACGGGCAACGGAGCAGAGAGAAACAGGGACGGCGTCACTGCTTCCGCGAGGCCATGGCTCGGGCTCTCATTGGTTCTTCGATTGCTGAGGTAAGTGACCAGGAGATACCTAGCGAAGTGGACCTACCTATCCTCGCGGAAGCGGCAACTGGCGGGAATGCACCCTCCAAGCACCTGCAGCGCTGCAACACGGCTGCAGCTGTCTCACAATCCATTAGCTAAGCCGAAACCAGGGACCTGCCTTAGGTAAAACAGCCAGCGGCCAGCCAAACAGGACGCGGCGTCGCTGTCAGTGCTTCGCTGCCACTGGTCGAGAGACGGGAGGTGCCCTACCGGGTTGTGGCTTGGCCTGTCGGTTCCAGCTTCCAATGAGCGTGCAATCGCGTTCGTGTCCTTTCGACCTCCTGGAACCACGGTCCCAAAAAAATAGCTGCCAGCTCTGCCGCACACAGTTGAAGCTCCCTCCCTGGACACATCTCAACGCCAACGCCAACGCCAACTCATCAATCGCGACGACAGACGACACCGGTCACCACCACGACCACGACGACAACAAACACCACCCATCCGCGCACTGCGAGTCTACGCCGCTCCGAGGCTGCACCTGCTTGACCACAATCCCCGCTGTTGAGGCAGCTTTAAGCTCCGATCCGACTCGACTGAAGCTCCCGTCTCCCGTCCACTGCGACCGATCCCGCCGCCCCCCGCCAAGCCGCGACGATGCTCAACCTCTTCCGTATTCTCGGTACGTGTAGTCTTCACCCTGCGCAGCGTGCCGAAGCATGTCTGCCCCGTCTTGCGATGGCTCTGTCGACTAACACGGCTTCCAGGGGACTTGTCCCACCTTGCCAGTATTGGCATCCTCCTCCACAAGATGGTTCAGCTGAACGTGAGTGTTTGCGATGCCAACAATGCCGTCACCCGAGCCTTATCTAATCCTTCGGCAGAGCTGTTCCGGTATTTCGTTCAAATCACAAGCCCTCTACCTTTTGGTTTACATCACCAGATACCTTGGTATGTCGACCCTCATCGTCCTATTGCCGCCCGACCTCACTTAGCTGACATCTTCCGTCAACAGATCTATTCTCAACCAGCAGCCTTTGGAACCTGGTCTTCAAGATTCTCTTCATTACCTCCCAAGGCTACATCGTCTACCTGATGACGACCGCCTACAAGCCCACCAACGACCCCAACCAAGACACGTTCCGCGTCCAGTACCTGCTTGGAGGCGCCGCCGCCCTGGCCATCGTCTTCCCTTACTACTACACCTTCTGGGAGATCCTCTGGGCCTTCTCCATCTGGCTCGAGGCCGTCGCCATCCTGCCCCAGCTCTTCATGCTCCAGCGTACTGGCGAGGCCGAGACCATCACTACCCACTACCTCGCTGCTCTCGGTATCTACCGTGCCCTGTACATCCCCAACTGGATCTACCGTTACTTCACAGAGGTGAACCACAAGGTCGACTGGATCGCCATCGTCGCCGGCATTATCCAGACCATCCTGTACTCTGACTTCTTCTGGATTTACTACACCAAGGTGATGAAGGGCAAGAAGTTCAAGCTGCCCGTCTAAAGTCTCTTTACCTACTCTTAAAAGAGTTTTCTTCGTGCGTTACCCTCGCGTGGAAACTTCCGCGACGGGCGACGTGACGGAGCGGAGAGTCATGGGCTGCACTAAATACTCCGAGAAACATCGGAGACTCGGTGTTGGGCATGACCTGATTTCTTTTCGTCCAGTCTCATCAAACACAACACATCGGATTTCAGGCACACACATACAAAAAGTTGGCCAGGTGCTAGGAACGGGATATCCTCTCCGTGCAGGATGGATGCATGACAGGCGTTGGGAGATATGGTTAGTTTTGCATGGGGCGTGCCACGCAGCCAGTCAGTCACGCCACGTTTTTGGGTGTTGGTTGGATGGCTGATTCTTCTTCTCACAGATCGACGGAGATCGTGAACGAACAGGAAGAAAGGCCGGGACACCACTGGTATATAGATGGTCAATGTGAAGAACGTTTCTAAATCTCTTCAGCCCGCTTTCTCAAGAACGTTTCCGCCGTTCCCCCCCCTCCTCATCGTATGCCAGCCGCCCGCACGCGCCATGGGGCGGTTACCGCGTGCTGCGATGACTCGTTCTTTTTCGGTTAGTTCGCCGGCTTCCGAAAATCTTGATCTTGTTTTTGGGTCGCCGACTGAGGTCGGTCCCTGCTCAGTATTTGTCTCTCGTCGTCATTTCCCAACTAGGAGGGAGGGGGAAAGGAAAAGAAGCAGACCCTGAAGGAACACCTCCCTTCTTTTGAGTTAGGAGCGATTCAGGAACAGACTCTGCAGAAATCTTGTCAGTTCCCCTGGAGTTCCTCCGGCTACCCCGACCTTCGTGGTCTTGCCCGCACGCCGGGCCCGAGTCAAGTGACGCCGGACAGGGATATGCGACACCAGGAGCACGAGAGGATCGACGCTGGTTAGAGGGGCAATCCCGCCATTGCAACACCCCTCCTTCAAGAGCCTCAACCTGACCAGGGATCCAGACCAACTTTGGCTTTTGAGACAATACCAAGCTCGGAACGCAACCGAATATTGATGCCGCGAGGGTATAGCAAACCACTCCCGTTCGGCAGGCATAAACTTTTCTGTCGTTTCTGTCAGCTTTCTGTTTCCAAAGCCCCTTGTGAAACCATCTGTGCATTAACCACCAACTCGAGCCTGGGCGTCTGACCGAATGAGAAGATGGGACGGTTCGCGGCGGGCCCAAATCTGATCTATGGGAAAGGATACCATTTCACTTCAACTCCACTCCTTTGAGAGCGTCCGAAAGGCAACCAACCGGGCAACGGGCAGTTACCAGCGTCTGGCCCAACCCCGTCCGTCTCCGCCCCCGTCCCTCTGCCAATGAAGCCGACTGGATAGCGACGGGCGTGATATCGAAGCGGAGTCAACCGCACGGAAGGGGAGGGATGATGGGGTCAAACCAAAGAGGAATGGTGCCGTAGGGCGGCGACAAGAGTCGTGGGACTGGGGGACAATTAGGACGAAGCGGTCCATAACATGGGCGAGGGCCGCCGACTAGGGACGTTTCGCGGAACCTTTGGCTCTTTTCTTGGATTGGTCTTTTTTTTGTGTTTTCATCTTTCCTTTTGTTCGTTTCTTGTGTTGACGTGAATCTAGGAATTATACATATTTTGTGTCTTGTGTGTTTTATTACCCGTGGAAGAATAGGGATAATATGGTTACAGCAAAGAGGAGGCATACATAATCCGACATGAAATCATGGTGAAGGCTTGCCTCCCACGAATACTACTACTATCTGCTTGGGTCTGCTTCGTGTTAGCGGCGGTAGCAAAGGCAGATGGGGCCAAAGGACGGTGGGCACGATGGGTCGACGCGGGGGATCATCAGTCACCGGCACAGCCTCACCGGAGGCGAGGGGGAGCAGGAAGACATATCATGATGGACCTCTTGGGGAGGCGGGATATGGAGCCCCCAACGGCGTCGGTGGACATCAACAAGCCCATACCCCTCGAAGATCGCGTCGTGCTGGCAGTACCCACGCCGGCCGCCCTCTTTGGGAGACAAGATAGCTTCAACCCTATCGACCAGATCAACCAGGCGTCCCGGTCCGCCCAGCAGGCCATCGCCTCGGCATCGCAGTCGGCGGCACAGGCTGTTCAACAAGCCAACGACCAGGTACGACAGGCCCAAGACAGACAACGACAGGCAGAGGAACAGGCAAGACAGGCCAACGACGCCGCCACGAGGGCGTCCATCTCGGCGAACAATGCCGTAGTACAGGCACAGGCAAGCGCGAGGGAGGGCATTGCCAACGCGCAGCAACAGGCGAGGGAGAGTGCGAGCAGGGACATTGCGGCAAATCTGGCGTCTGTGACGAGCAGTGCGAACCAGCAGCTGGCGTCGCAGATTGCGAGCATCCAGGCGAGCGCGAGTATCAGTGCTGCCCAGGCCATTGCATCTGCTACAGCTTCCGCGAGTGCTGCTATCCAGAGTGCTCAGCAGCAAGCGCAACAGCAGATCCAAGCTGCCAGGGTACGTCTTTACAACTCACTCACACTTTGCATCACTTACACAACTAACACATGAACAGGACGACGCCAACTTGAGAGTCTCACAGGCACAGGGAGCAGCCGTCTCCGTCACGCAAGCAGCACTCGCAGTTGTGGGCGCGATCATCGGCTCTTCACTTCTCACAATCTTGGGCTTCTACATCTGGACACGCTATCGCCGGGGCAAACGCAAGGAGGCAAAGGAGAGGGAGTTACGACGGGAAATCAGCTACCCGAAACAGAACACGCTCATGACGACAAACGCATTAGCGGCCAACAACGGCTACCCGCCAGACTTAAAACGTTCTATATCACCGACGAGGCCAGACACGGCACGGACGACGGGGTCGGGCGGGATGGGGTACGCGGTGAGTGACTTTGGCGACGGGGCACCAAATTTTTCGAGAACGACGACGTTCGTCAGTCAGTCGGCACCTCAGATGCAGACGATACAGCGAGAGCCGTCGGCGAGTCGAAAGCCAGTGGTGCCGCCGTCGCCGAGGAAACAACCGCCGTACTCTCTCTTCCCGCCAAAGTCGAGAGACGGACCGCCGAATACGGCTCTGCCTCCCACTCCGGCTCCAGCTCGAAATAGAGAGCAACAACAGGAGCAGCCACCGGGAACAGGGGGATCACAAGGACCTCCTCCGCCATTTGCTTCAGCCACCAACACCAACCCGTTCGCTTCGACCAACAACGAGAAGCTGAGCAAGGTGGACGAGGAAGGCGAACTTGTGGAGGGTAGCAAGGGCTGGTTGAGACGGACGCAGACCGTGAGTCCGTTTGGGGACCTGGTCGACAGCCCGACAGGGGAGAAGGGTTCGGACTGGCCATTCAGGAGGTCAGATTCGCCGCCTCCCAAGTGAACAGGGAGGGAGGCCGAGAGGAGGGGGAGGAGGGGGAGGAGGAGGAGGAAAAAACGCCTTTGGACGACTACCTATGATTAATGCGCTCAAAAATAACGTTCACTCTTTTGTTCTACTATTACTCTTCATGTTATTAATTACTGTTCTACAAGGGGGCCTTATGGCACCCGTTATCAACACCACCAGCTCAATATAATACAAAATGTATTATGACCCTTTGACATTCATGCCACCCAACGACCCCGCCCTCCAACATGCCATCACATCACAACCCGTTGCTGCATTAACCAACCCCAACCATCGCTGTCTTGTGTGCTCGAATAATAATAATTACATGTGCTTGCTCCCCGTCTGTTCGGAAGCGTGTCGTGTCTTGGAAGTCAAAAAAGAGAAGAAAAAGGCTTGGCAGAGCATGCAGCAAGCAGAGTTTGGTCTCAAGTCCGAGGCCTCCTCCACAGTCCCGCCGCTACTGGAGCCTCTCCCCCGGCGCCGCAACCACCGCTTACACCACGAACGACGGCACCACACCCAGTACCGACCTGCTGGTGCTGGTGCTGTCGCAGGTTCCTCTTGTCGTCTGCTGGTGCTGGTGCTGCTGCACGACAGCTGCCGACGACGCCGGTGCCCGATTTGGCTTTCTTGGAATCCCACAGACACCCGGCGGGCGACGAACTGGATTCTGTGTGCAGGGTGTTAGATGGGATCTCTCATGTTTGATCGACGGCCAGGGAGGAGGGGTTTTGGGAGGTTCATGGGTCCAGTCATGTTGGTGGTGGTGGTCCCCCGGCTTCCCACTCTTCAACTGCTGAGACAGGCACATGGCCAAGGAAGAAGAAAGAAAACGTGAGAAGAGGGCGAGGGTGAGTGAGTCTTGACTCGTCGTCGCCGTTAGGATGGTTTGGGGGGTGGGTGTTCGTGACTTTACCTCTTTGTTCTGAACCTTGCGGCGAACGACTGGACCCGAGGTCGAGTTTGCGGTCAAAGTCTAAGGAGATGCCCAGGATGGAGGGGAGGGCCGCGTCGATCTGCACGTCCTCGAGTTCACGTCGCATTCTCTCGACCTCGTCGTCGTCTGCACCACGGGATGCCGCCTTGAGCCGTATGATGGCGATTTGCTGTTGCAGTTGCATGGCGAGATGGCGATCCAATTCGCTTGGCGGCGGCGACGAGTTCACCGAGATGGCACCCCGGCGCCTGCTGGTGCGCCTTGAGGAAGTCTCCGGCGGGAGCGAGAAGGAGCGCGGGAGGTTGAAGTCGCGGTGGTCGCTTTGGCTTCGAAATAACCTCTCGGTGTCTGGCCAGAGACCCTGCGGTCGCGGTTCATCTGGATGTGGTGATGGCGCCCAGAGCCATTTGAAGGCGGCCGATCCAGCGCGGCCTCTCTTGTTAGGGGGACTGTGATAAAATTCGTCTTCTTCGTCATCCTCTGCGACGCGCTTTCTGCGCATTTTCATCTCGGTCATGGCGTCGCATTTGGTGGTGAAGCGTCTTCTTTTAATTGACCGGGTGGTGATCCCTGTTGGCGGTGGTGACAATTCGCGGTGAGACAACAAGAATTAAGTTGCGGATATCACATTCTGCAAATCAACGAACGCGATAAAGCCCACTTCCACTCTCAGAATTCGATAAGGAAAGAGCCAGCCAGCCAGAGAGAAAGTTCAGGTGAATAAAGGCAACGTGGTGGAGAAAACGTGTGGACGTGTGGTGTCAATGTGAGAAGTGAGCAATGAGCAGCGAGCATAATGAACAGCAAAACACTGCAAGGAGCAGCAAGTGTCTCGGTCGAGTTGAGGTTCGTGCGCCGGCGGGGTCTAATTGAAATCGAAAGGAATGTCCCCTGCCTCACTCCGGCCACGGTCTGGCGCGAGCTCTCTCTCCTTTTCTCTCTTGTTAATCAATCAATCAATCACACCTCCGGATCAAGACTAACTCGCCCCAAACACCACCGCCGCTAACAAGATCTAGGGTCTCGCTGAAAGATGCATAAGAACAAGTGTGCGGCCTGACAGCAACAATGCATGATTCCGCTCGGAAAATACATGAGACCTGTCACTTCGGCACCTCGGGAGTAATGACTGGTGATATTGCTGCTGGTATAGTTCCCTGAATTCCCCCCTCCACTTCCTCCGCTCATTACATCCTCCGTCCCAATTCTGTTGCGGATGACAGTTTCAGCCGCGCCAAGCTATCGAGGCTCACACAGACATGAGGATTGCAACTGCCGGGACTAGTCTTCCGACTACGGGAGGTCCCGGTTGGGAACCAGGCGATTAAGACCCAGAACGAGGGGCCTGGTTTCACTTCCGTTTGTCCTCACTCGCGCGCTATTGGTTTGTTCTGGTCCAAGAAGCAGCCCTACATATACGACCCTCCCCGGTCGGATGTCAACCGGAATAAGGTGCGGGGCTCTCGAGATTGTTTCTTTGTCGTCAATGGGCATAATGAACTCGACGTGCCACCGACACGGCCGGTCCATGGTGTGGCCTGCTCAGTCGATCTTGGCCTGTGTTGGGAGGCCACTTGGTGTCATCTGCGTCTGAAGCTATTCCAAGATCTGCTCGAGTGATCGGCCGACGGGCAGAAAAAGCCATATGCGCGCATCGTCGTCTCATATACGTATGATCTCCGGATGACAGGTCGGAATTCGAGCGAAACGCTAGCTTTGAACCTTCTCGCCCTCTCATGCTGACGATTATGGAGTTGCTTGCGCATATAGCTATATCATGCAGCCGAACAGAATCGGCCACTTCCTACGTCAGACTTTCAAGCCGATGGGATGACTACTGGCTTGCGATCTACTCGGCAATCTCGCATTGCCATCAATATGCAAGGCCGGCAGTGGAGTTTCTGTCAAGAATGGCCCGCCCCGCGATCGACTTGATGTCATCCCTTGTACCGTGGAACCCGTCTGTTCAGTTGCCATCTTAACTTGCGTCCAACTCCTCGTTGCTCGAGACTAACAGTGGGAGGGAGCAAGGCATTCCATTCAAGACAGAAGACTTGACGTTGCTGGTTCTAATTCCTCATCCACTTAGAACTGTCAGACTTCGAAGACTTACTCAGTTGGCGACAACGAGGACTACACCAACAACTGGCTTCAGCTATCATGCACGCAAGAGCCTCATAAGAAATAGTTCTCAGAAAAGTATTCCATTGGGGTATCGGCCGACTATGTACGCGTCAAGGAAATATAATACAAGGTAGGTTGCACGTCTGAGGCTGCAAACTCAGATGCATATGTTGTTCATCAACGACGACCACCACTGCTGGCACTGCTCCACTGTCGGTCCCACGCAGCCATCTGGCCGGCCATTGACTGAGATGATCTGCCTGTAGGCTGCCCGGTGGCGTAGAATCTGTCCGAGGGGCTGGACGATGAAGCGTAGGAGGTGTAGCGTGTCTGACTGGATGAGCTGCTCGATGTGCGCCCTCCAGTGTTGGAAGACATGCTGTACGATGACTGCTGGTGTCTAGTCGATGTCAGAAAGGGACGGCCCGGTTGAGGGTGTGACGTGGTTGCCTACCTAGAAGAAGAAGCGCCGTACTTGGACCCTGACATGATTATGAGAGGTGGAGTAGTGGTAGGGTATGTGGATTGATGTTGGTGCGGTCTAGTTTGGGTCGCTGAGAGCAGGGGTAGTTATCGTGGTGATAGGTGTGTTGGTGAGGTCTGAGATTCAAGGCCGACTAATCGTGGGTCTTATACTCACCTGGACATGTTGAAGGAGAGAAGGGTAGGCAGTTCGACAAAATAGAAAAAAACAAATACAATTACCAGTATCTAACAACTCCGTTGCGAATTCCCTATGTTGAATCATCGCAATGTGTGGGGTTAGGATTCAATGGCGGCGCTTAGGAACATGAAGTCGAAATATCGCGTGTGCGATGTACGCAGACAGAAGCTGTGTGGCGGCGTCCAGTATCATGGTCAAGTTGCTGTCACTTGACCAGCTAGCGCGTTGGAGTTAGGAACAAAATTGGGGCCCCGGGCCATCAGATCTTCTCTTCTGGACTCTAAAGAATGCAGACGACTAACAAATGTGGGAGAAAGACGATATGGAAATGCGCTGTTGAGCGAAAACAACATCAATTGTAAAAAGACGTGGCCAAGTCAAGGGGAGTGAATCCCTGAAGACAGGAGCGCGCACTCGCGCGTTTGGAGCTTGGATGTGATGCGATATTCGCCACCTCGCCTGGAAATTGTCGATTGTGAGCAACACATGAAACAAACGCCGCCCGCGAAACTGCGCACAAGAGGGTATTGGCTTCTGCTCCATCAGATGGTGGCGGTGGCATAGAAGATTCGAAGGTGAGGTGGAATGGGGGGAGAGAGATGGACGGCCGGGGTTAAACGGGCGGGAGCATCAGGGCGCGACCTAGCGCCGGAGCGGGACGGGAATGCGGATGAGAGGATCCTGTAAGATCGTTTGCGAAGTCGAAGAAGAGTCGAAGGATATTCTGCGCTAGACGTTCGTCCAAGGGCGGTCAAGGTTAGGGGTTCAACGGGTGAAAGCTTGGCTTCGAGACTGTTCTTGGCTTGGCTCTGGATGCTTCGCATCGTCACTGGGGAGCAGTTGTTGCCACTGAATCTGACGATGTCCTGCCCCAAAAGGCGGGTCATTCCCGTGCCCTGGCCCTGGCCAACACGTTGGAACTGGGAATTATTAGCCAACATGCGTGTTGGCTCAGATGGGTGCAGGGAGGGTAACCGAACCGGAGGCACAAGCAGCGGGGAGGCATCCGGCGGCTGCCAGTGATGCAGAGGTTCAATGACGGGATGGATCAAGGCAAGGGAAGGGAGGGTGTGGCTGAGATGATGGAAATCTTTTTACTAGGTACCAAGGTGTAAATGGCTACCCGAGGCCGCCAACGATGGAATATGAGTGCTCTCACTGCCGAACTCGAGATGTCTTCCAAGTTGATGAAACGAAAATGCAGAACTAGTGGCTGTGGCTGGCGGTGCAGCGGAAGGATTGAGGGGCAGAAAGGCATGCATGTCACAAGAGGCAAGGCATGGGATAGTCTCTTCCGCTTCTTCTGGTTGAAATTCTCATCCCTCTTGACATCCTCGGGAAGATTTGCCGTCCCAAGGAGTAGTTGAGGCCAACAACTCATTTTCTCTGTCAACCAAGTTGATATTGGGCATTGAAATTTACAAGATCACGAAGGGGCTTGTTTGTACAACGTCTGTGTTGGCTACACGAGAAGTGGAAAATACCCTTGTCTGAGGCCGACTTGGTGTAGACTGACGTGTCAACAACGCTATTGAATCGAACAAGAAGACCAAAACGAATAACTTGTGTGTGATAGAACAACGCAGCTCTTTGTAATATCCAAAAGTGACAATCTATTGTCGTTACCTATTTGCTTCAAAATCCAACATGAGCTTAATCATCTCAGATGGAGATGCATGCAGACAGACATGGGTCAGGGTGAGATGGATACGTATCTCTCGGTCTGGCCCAGCACAATCGAGAACGAACAGCACGGCACAGCACGTCATTCCTCCCCCCCAGTTCATGTCCCTTCAACTGAACTGCTTGCACGGTGCACCCGGAGGCCTTTGGGGACACTGCCACACAGCGATTCCCCTCCTTCGACTCTGCCTGACAGGGCTGTTTTCTGTCTTCTTCCACTCATGCATCATTCTCGCACTCTCCCGAGTGACAGCAGACAAGCTGCGCCCATCTCGATTCCACTGCGGCCCAAACGGCAGACCTCCCGCTCATTGTTCGTTGTACGGCGTCCAGGATGAAGTCATTCCTTGCAATCGAGTCTGCCCCAGCGGAAACAAAGACCGTCCTCGCTCTTTCGACTGTAACCGATGTCCAAATTACCGATGTCGTCCTGACGAGGGGTTGTTGCTGATGCCTTGAATTGTGGACGCGGGCAAGGATGGCCAAATGCTGGTGCCTTGAGCTGAACACACCAAAGAGCAATCATCAATCACGCTCTGCCGGCGGTTGCTTCGCTACGCGGATGGCTTCATCGGACATGCTGCTGCTTCGAGCGCACGTGAGGGACCTTCTTCGCGCGCGAATACCCTCAGCGGGAGCCGCTTCCTGGCCCTCTGCAATCCTTCGGCGAGCTTGTTCTAGCCGCTCCCTTGTTCCGTGTGCCATGGCTGCAATAAGTGGTCTTGAAGTCACGACCTCATGCTCGTCAAACCCCGTCAATATCTCACTCGTATTGCCCAGAGTAGTCAAGTCTGGCTGCTCCAAGGCACACAGCTGAGCCCCCGTCCCCTGCAACCCAGCCTACCGGCGACACCACCATCATTCTTCCACTTGGGAGACACGGAGAAGTCATTGGAGCACCCGACTCCGCCAGACCACCTTCGAGACCTCCCCTCCAGGCTCCGAGTGCTGTGCAACTGCAGACCCCGGTCATCTCTGGGGGCCGGCCAGTCAGTCTTATCGTTGTTGGCGAGCTTCCTGGGCTGCATCTCTAGGCTCTAGCTGCGTTCCATCCTTGCGCCGTGCCGGCTCCTGTCTTCTCCAGCCTGAGCCGCCCATCCCTCCTCTCGCACCACGGCGCCACGGCGGCGCGCGCCAACGTTCAGCTCCATTGAATAGCCTGGTCATCCCCCCTCACTTCCCATCGCAGAAGTCCATTTCGAACGCTCTTGTTCGCCCGTCATGTATCTGTCCATTTCCTGAGCCTTTTGCTTCAATCTTTCCCTTGGCTCTTGATCCGAAGCGAATCTCAACGTCCATCCGGTTGATTTACCCTCAGACGCTCACTTACACGCTCTACACTGTCCAACACCACAAGGCTGTGGCCGCCGGCCTCAAACCAGAGCGCAATGTCGGAGTCTCCCTCCAGTCCCCACGCCACCCAGACCGGTCGCCCTTCGTTGTGGACCGAGTCGGCCGAGCGCAAGCTGGCTAGATTATACGTTTATACTACTCTTCCTCTGGTCAAGATTGTAGAAGTCGTCCACAAAGCAACCCCAGGGAACCGGGACTGCCCAGGGTATGCGCGCTGACATTGCTGTTGCGCCGGCGCTTATGCTGACATTTGAGCTCGTAGAAAGGATTCTGCCAACAAGAAATTGAATGCGATCCTCGACAAAGAACCACGATGGCTTCACCCCCGAACCCGAACCGATATGGACCGTCGCATTGGTGCCCTCGATAGTTCCCCCACACGCCAAGCGCCCCCAGAGGATGCTTTTTCGCCCGACTACACGCGCTCCGCCTCCTCCGGCTCCAGATCGCACTTGAGCGTTAACCCAGAATTCAAGGTCGAGGCCGGCAACAGTCCGAACGTGAATGACTTCCAGTCCTTTGACCACTCCCGCGCTTCGTCCGCCGGGTGGAACCCCGCCGCCCCCGGCCCGCTGCCGACCCTCATGACCCCCGAATACGCCTCCGTCGCGCCGCCCGAAGCCGGGGGCCTCCGCCGCTCAGGCACCATGCACACCCTGGGAGACGTTTTGTCAGAGTATTCGACCGGTTTCATCCGCCAGGTCAACAAGTTATTGAAACGCTATACGATGCCCAGCAATACGATGCTTAACCAGTCGCCGATGGACGACCACCGCCCCGGCACCGCCGACTCGAACCCGGCTTCGTGGATTTTTGAGTACGACGCGCCGCAAAGGAGATCTGAAACCGAAGCCAGACCACTTCCCGGCGATTTCCTCAGCCTTCATTACCGTCTTCATACTCAGGGTGCCTGCTTACCAGGCCTACCCGAACACGACACGAGATCTTGCTACTGCCATGTGAAGGATGAGCTCCCGGAAGAGGCCTGGGTATCAGAGAGGGGACCGGAACCTTTTGCCCAGCAAGTCCTCGCGTTTGGCAGACCCGCGGATGGCAACTTTGCGCGCCGCGACGCCTTTGGCAACACCATCCTTCACCTACTCGCAGCCGGCAATGCACCTCACACCCATCTCTCTCACGCCTTGAAGCAGGAGCTGTCGCCCAACCCATCGGCAGTCAACAGTGCTGGGCAGACCTTTATGCACGTTCTCAATGATTCTTGGTTTTCGTCGCCTGCCAACGATCTCTACCAGCTCATCGTATTCCTCAAACAACAACGCTTCGAGTTGTATACATGCGACGTCTACGGCCGCAATTTCTGCCACCTCATCCACAACAAAGACCCGCGGATCATGAACCAGGACACCAAGAACGCTCTTCTGGCACTGCTAGATCCTTTGGAGTACTGCCGTCGCGATGCATTCGGAAGCATTCCCGAAACCGCAATCCCAGGCCACCTCCGCCGGGCCTACACCTCCGCCATCGGCCAAGAAATGTCTCCTACGTGGGACGCAAGCACCCAGCGACAACTTTCCTCACCCATCGAACAGCAGGCCAGTCTTCTTCGAACCGTCAATGAATCATATAAGAACCCTCGTGTACAAGACTCCCAAGGCCGCAACGGTCTCCACTGCCTCGCCGACGCCATCCTCAGCCAAGAATCCCTCCTTGCCAAGTTCCCCGGTGCCGTTTCCGTTGAGCAACAAGAGCAAACATCACCCGTCAGCCGCAAGCGCAAGCACAACAAGCCGATCCTCCAAAAGTCCCTCTCCGACTCCTCCAAAGAGCG